TCATTATATGGTTTCTTTGTCTTATTGAGATCAGTGGCTGCATTTTTTGTGACTGTAATGGCCATTTATTTTTTGCTGATTGGATTTGCACAATCTTGGAATTTTCAGCTTGGAGCCAATGCTATTTTGGCAGTGTCACTTGCTGTATGTAAAGCGGGAGCTTTAGCAAAGAAGATTCCTCTGTACAAGGTATGTGAGGTTTCAATAACCATAGATCCTATCAGGTTATCTTGCGTTCTCATGCTTTGCTTTTGTATTATTTTAACATTTCAGCACATTGCCAATCTGGCTGGAAACAAGACTTTGGTACTACCTGTACCTTCATTCAATGTTATCAATGGAGGCTCACATGCAGGAAATAAGCTAGCAATGCAGGTAATGTTAATTTAACATAACAAATGACTAGGGACATTTTTTATGAAATATTTACCCTGCGTCCTCTTCTATAGGAATTTATGATTCTCCCTGTTGGGGCATCTTCTTTCAAAGAAGCAATGAAGATGGGTGTAGAAGTATACCATCATCTAAAGGTTACTGTCCTTTTCGCCAAATTTGCTTTCATTTTTTTTTCTTCTTAAATGGATGAAAGGAAAGCCATTTTTATTTGTGTCATAATGTTAATGTGTTTGTCTTACAGGCTGTGATTAAAAAGAAGTATGGACAAGATGCTACCAATGTTGGTGATGAAGGTGGCTTTGCTCCTAATATCCAGGTCCTTATTTGTTCTTTTTGGTTTTAGTGATTTATGTTCTTTGCATATCAAGATCTTTTGTAGTGTAATAATTCAAATGTGTATCAACATCAACATCAATAGCATCTTCAAATGTGTATAAAAAAGTTTATTCTTTCTGCTGTTACTCTATAATGAACATTAACCTTCTGGTTCAATACAGTTTTATCTCACCAAAATGCAAATTTTTACATGTTTACTGTTTTATTTATAGGAAAACAAAGAGGGTCTTGAGCTTCTGAAGACTGCCATTGCAAAAGCTGGTTATACTGGAAAGGTTGAATCTTCATCTGCTGAGTCTGATTAAGCATCTTAATAATGGCTGATTAATTTCTATCCTTACAGGTTGTGATTGGGATGGACGTTGCTGCTTCAGAATTTTATGATAACAAGGGCAAAACATATGACTTGAATTTTAAGGAAGAGGTAGACTAAATACGAAGTTTTTTTACCAATTTAGCTTAAATTTTCATTCCTTTATTGAGTTATATTTCTTTGTTAAATGCTTCAACTAGATAACTATAAACCTTATTGCAGAATAATGACGGATCACAGAAAATCTCAGGAGACAGCTTAAAGAATGTGTACAAATCATTTGTGACAGATTATCCAATTGTGTCCATTGAGGATCCATTTGATCAGGATGACTGGGAGCACTATGCTAAGTTAACAGCTGAAAATGGCCAGCAAGTGCAGATTGTTGGTGATGATCTCCTCGTCACCAACCCTAAGGTTTGCTTCATTAACTTTAAGTTTGAGTTACGCGCAGCAGATATGTATCCTTTTGACATTATTCTGTCCATTATTTGGCTCCATAGCGTGTGGAGAAAGCAATTAAGGAGAAGGCTTGCAATGCCCTTTTGTTGAAGGTAAATTAGCTTTTACTGCCTTCTTATCTGCTAGAGGATCTAGACTTCCATCTTAACTAATTGTTTTAATCTGATAATTCTTGTCAACTTTGAGGTGGGAAATTTCATTTGTTACTATCTATATTCCTTAGGTGAATCAAATCGGTAGTGTAACTGAAAGTATTGAAGCTGTGAAAATGTCCAAGCAAGCTGGTTGGGGTGTCATGGCTAGCCACCGAAGGTATTGAACATTCGTTGTTCCCCCCTTCGTTTCCCATTTTGTTCTGTTTTCTCATGTTGTGGCATTCTTTGTCTGTGTACACTCATATGTTTCATCTTGTTTATTGTAGTGGTGAAACTGAGGATACCTTCATTGCTGACCTCTCAGTTGGATTAGCAACGGTAAGTTGTCAGAATGTTTTTTTCCCCATCATATGTTATTTTCCGTTGTCCCAGTAATGTCTTCATGGATCAATTGTGTGAAGATTTCGAAACTTGAAACTGAAGCTGATATAATTTGATCATGTTCTGTCATTATTTAACAGGGGCAGATCAAGACTGGAGCTCCCTGCAGATCTGAAAGGCTTGCCAAGTATAACCAGGTAAAACCATAATACTTAATATCTTTGTTAGATGAGCTAAATGTGATAAGTTCAATGGCTGATCCTTATTATACCTTTTGTAACGGTCAATTTGTTCATTTGATTTAGAATCCCCTGTGCTTTTATTTATTTTTTGCTATGTGTTGCAGCTTCTTAGGATTGAGGAGGAACTTGGTCCTGCTGCAGTCTATGCTGGTTCCAAATTCAGAGCCCCCGTGGAACCCTACTGAGGTTTAACGCAAGTGTTCCCTGAGCAGCATATAAATAAGATTGTGTTAATGTTGATAGCATGGGGCATGTAGTTTTTCGCAAATTATGCTTGTCTGCTAGAAGAGTATATAGTATTGTTGAGTGTGGAATTTTGATTCTGAGAATAGCGCAGTAAACTCTGGTTTTTGGTTGTGTCTATTATGGTTGGGCTTGTTGGTTGATAATCAAATATCAAATATTAGTACAAATCCTGGATGAATTATGTCTAAGTTGATGTCCTTTTGTATTAAGGCATACATATCTCTGAAATTATATTTTATATCGATTTATTTTCTTATAATTTCAGAGTATGTATGGCTTAATTCAAAAGGACATCATCCAGATTTTTCATGAGAATGGAAAACCTAAGTAATGGGTATTGTCTCATATAGCAGCACTTGTTGTCGACTTCAACGGCTATCAAGCACGTCGTCAACAACAACTTTGCTCTCACCGACCTATGGAAACATGGATTGATATAAACAATTCAAGCTCTGAAATTTCCAATAGTAAATGCTTGACAGTCCATATCACCACAAACAAAAACAAAATAATTAAGTTTCGCTTTATATATTTATTTTACATTTCCTTAATATCAGGCTTCGCACGAATGATGGGCTTGAAATATATATACAAAATATTTCAAAAGGAATGGTAATTATAGTATAATTTTTCTCAAAAGAATGAAATAATAACTTAATTGTCAGGCATTTTACATAATCAACTTTTTTTTTTTGAAATTAACAAAAATTATCGAAAATAAATTTCCTAGGCATATAAACCAATTAATTGAATAGGTATTTATCATAAATATATGTACCGTTGAAAAATAATCTTTATAAAATAATCAATATAACAATTTGGGTTAGTTACCTTCAAATATTGCAAAATCAAATTATTCTTTTTAAGGATCTTGATATTTTAACAATACAAAACTAATACCCTTATTGATCATTTTTTTCCCCATTCAAAATATCAATCCAAGGTCAAGTAGCATTCAGTCAACTTTGCCATCTGAAAAGGGTAATCACAATGGTCCTTAGATATAAAAAACGATAAAAACAGCAGATAATATCATTATATGCGATACTTATCAACCAAATGTATTTCAAAATGACTTGAACGAGTTTTGTTTGATGCACATGTAATAATGATACAAAACAAAGAAATTATTCTCTTTAGATATTTATAATCTAATTTAAGTTTCCAATATATTGTTAAAGTTCATTATTAGTAATATAAGATAGTTAGAGAGAGTTTATTATCTTACAAGGGAAAAATATTTTCGTTATATTTGCCAGATTTATATAAAAGTGGGTGAGTTATATTAATCTCTTTGATCCACTTATTTTTATATAAGTATGATAGAAAAATAATATTTTACAATAAAAACAAAAATATTAAACCTATATTACAATATACTACACGAGATTATCCACTAGGGCTAGTCTAGTGGTGTGGGTGTGTGTAATAGGATGCGTGTGAGTGTGTGGTTGTATGTTCTATTCCTTGTAACCTACAAAAAAAATATATACTACACGAGATTTAACCATGTACTTAAAATAAATTCCAACAATAGAACAATGACACCCAAAAAGGGAAGAGAAATCCGAACCCTCAAAATGACATCACATATGCAAACATAATATATTAGTTTTCTCATGTTCAATTAACTTAACAATTAATTGAATTAGAGCCCTTACATCATTCTAATCCCTCTCGAGAATCTTGAATGATAATATACAAGTCTTTCTCACTGATAGAGAAAAAGTAGGTAATAAGGAACTTCAAAAAAGACATGTATATTAACTTCTTCAACAAGGACATCTGGTAGATCTGCTCTCTCTCTCTCTCTAGTAGAAAGATTGCATGGTTAATAATGAAGGGAACGGTGTTCATATAAAATTAGCGAAATCATAGTGTTACTATCATGTTACTATCAATCAATCTCACCGTTAGATTGATTATGTTGATCCAACGGTTATATTTATTTTCATCTTTGTATGATTATAATTCCTCATATTTAAAGTGAAAACATTAAATATGAGAAATCATAACTATACAAAGGAGAAAATAAATGTAAAGTAATAAATTTGGGAAATCATGACCATACAAAGATGAAAATAAATATAACCGTTGGATCAACATAATTGATTTAACAGTGAGATTGATTGGTAGTAACATGGTAATAACACAACTTGGTTGTTACAATATCTTTCCCCATAAAATTATATATAAATTCTATAATTTAAAACAATTAACCCTGAAAACAAAATCTACAATAAAATTAGGATTTAATATTTTTTATATTATAAAAAATAATTTTATCATCTATACATATAAAAATATATAAAATTTATATAGGATGATGTGAAAAGAAAAGAGCCTTTATATATACACAAGAGATAATTTCTTATCTTACAATACCAGCAACATTAAAACTATAAAATTAATCACTGAAAATATAGTATACTAAAAGTTATTGGAATTAAAATGAAAAATGCATGGATGAATGAGCCTAACTTAAAAAAAACAAAAACAAAAATTAAATGAAAGAATAGTTTGACTAGAGAAAGCAAGAGAAGAAGAGCGATGTGGCACAAGTGAAACAGAGAAGAAAAGTGCCATTACGCTACGCTTTCTCTCTCGTGTGTGCAATCGTTTCCTTTGCCTTTTCTTCTTCTTCTTCTTTCTCACAACTCAACTCAGAAGAGACAAGTTTCATTCTTCATCTTTGCTTTGTTTCGTTCAAACATTCCTTTTTGCAATCGCATTTTTTGTTTTTGTTTGTGAAGATAGATGGAAAGCGCATCGGAACTCGTGGAATTCCCGTTGTTACTGACACCAATTGAGTCCAACTACAGGGCTTGCACCATTCCTTATAGATTCCCCTCCGATAATCCTCGCAAGCCCACTCCCACTGAACTCTCTTGGATTGATCTCTTTCTCAACTCCATCCCCTCCTTCAAGTACGTTCCTTCTTTTTTCTTCTTTTCAGTAAAAAAAAAATTGATTTTTTTTTTTGTGATTCGCAGTTTTTGATCATTTATAGAATACCCTTTTGTTCATTTTAACCTGCAATTGCTTATTTTGCTATTGCTTTTAATAAAAAATGGTACTTTTTGTTTTTTGTTTTTAATTAAAAAATTTCGTAGTTTTGTGGGTAATATCTGGTTTTTATGTATATTGGGTCGTTTTATTTTCTTTCCCTTGTTGGTTTTTTCTTAGTGTACTGATTTCATGATATTCGATTATGGACTTTTGAAGATCATCAGAAGCCTGCTGCAGATGTTTTTTTTTTTAATTTTTTTAATCAATTTCATTCATTTCCTTATGTATTTAAAATTATGTCAAGCTTTCTGCTCATGTACTTGAACTGTTTTTAAACTATGATTTTCAATTTTAACCGGTGCCTTTGTTTGTAATGGTATATATGCTGGTGAGGGATGAATCACATATTCAGGTGGCATCACCATTACCATGTTTGTTAGCTACTTACCTTTCAAAATAGATCATTGACATATTTGTAAGATTTATTTTCTGTAGAAATGACTTCCAAATTATTCTATAGATTTATTTCCATTTTTTGTAAGTGATCCAATTGTCATGATTATACTTATCCCGGGCTATTGAAAATTTTCTTCCCATTTCTTCAATACTGGGTTAGGGTGAGTTGGTTATTCTTGTTGCTTTTTAAAGATTGCTTCCAAAACCTACTTCTAAAAGATGATTTAGGAATTGTTGTAAGATGAGTAATAGAAAAATAGCTTTATGAGCAGTTGAGTGTTCGATAAATATTTACTATAGGTATAAGCATTGTCAATATTGACAATGGACCAAAATGTTCAAGCAAATAGTAAATTGTTTCTATAATAATTCCTGAATTTATCTATGTACTTTTCTTATATCCTGAATTATCAAAAGAGCATGAACCGATTTTGAAAATGTCTCTTAACCTAGATTTAGGAGCACATTTTGATCCATTTACAACCATTCAGAGTTGCTTTTTTCTAATTAAGGTAAGTAGAAACAACTCATTTATGGCAATATTAAACTAATCTTTACTGGTTTTAGTGAAATATGTGTTTTTTATATTATTGCAAGGATTCTATTATTTGTGTGTTTCTTGTTTACAACTTTACATCACTGTTTATCTTTGTTTGACAGGAAGCGTGCAGAGAGTGATACTTCTGTTCCTGATGCTGCAAATAAAGCTGAAAATTTTGCTCAAAGGTGATCTCTTTCATCTTATTTCTTTTATATAATAACTTGTAGTATGGGATTTGCTCATTGCATCTTTTGTTTTTGCATTCCCTGCAAAAGGTATGCTGACATACTTGAAGATTTGAAGAAAGATCCTGAAAGTCATGGTGGGCCACCTGATTGCATTGTACGTTCTATACTATTGCTGAAATTGTACAATAACTATAATTTTTTTATAAAGTACACACACACACACATATATATAATTTTTTTTTTTTTATAAGATACAATTATTGGCCCATACCTTCCACACAGTAACAAGGAATCAGAACTAAAAATGCAGCAGTTTGGTGATGTGTCCTAATTTTCTTCTTTGTTTCTTTTTTTGGGGCGGGGTTCTAGCTTCTCTGCAGACTTCGTGAGCAAGTGCTTAGAGAATTGGGATTCAGAGATATCTTCAAAAAAGTCAAGGTAAGTATAACTGCAATTTGGGATCCTTTTTGTTACTGCTATGCAGCTATGGATATGGATAATACAAAATTGAAGAAAAGTGTGTGCCTAATCTGATTGTAGTGCTTGAAGTAATGTAACATCTTGCTTGAAGTATAAAGGGAAATTTAATGTAATTGTTTTCATATGTAGTTGTCTCAAAAGGTCCAAATTTATTAGCCAAAGTTGAACAGAATTGTAACATATGTTGTTTTCAATTTTGATGAGAAAGGGCTGGGATGCCATCATGACATTTATCAATTTTAATCTGTTACTCTTTATCTGATTGAATGCAATAGGATGAAGAAAATGAGAAAGCCATCTCCCTATTTGAGAATGTTGTTCATCTTAATGATGCCATTGAAGATGAAGGCAAGCGACTTGAGAATCTAGTTAGAGGAATTTTTGCAGGAAACATATTTGATCTCGGTTCTGCCCAGGTAGGATGATTTTCCATGCATTCTTTTGATAACTTCTGGATAACTGAAATTAATAATGTTGGACCAAACTAGATCAAGCCTACTTGTTCATTCAAGCAGCAACTTTACTTATTTAAGCTGTCATCTCTATCTAAGAATATTCTTTTATGTTGCATGTTACAGTAGCAACCCCTTTATCCTTTCTTTCCACTTCCAATTTTCTGGTTTTGTTCCTCTGCTGAGTGCAGAATAAGGATGCATGGTGAGGCTAATTATCCTTAAAATACAGTATTCCTTAACTTACCCTAATTGGTTGTTGATAGTACTATTGGCTATTTGTGACTGGTGATGTTCTCTGATATATGTATGGAACAATAGGCTGTAAATTTTGCATGGGTATCCGGATATATTTGAAACTTTACCTAGGTCTGAATTTATTTTCCCACCAGAAGACAACTGTTCTGCTATTTATCACAATCGTATGCAGCAGTTAGGAGAATTATATCTATTTGTAGTTTATGTGTTACCTTATTCTTTTCACAATTTCTTGAAGCTTGCAGAGGTTTTCTCTAAGGATGGAATGTCCTTTTTGGCTAGTTGTCAAAATCTCGTCCCTCGACCTTGGGTTATTGATGATCTTGACACTTTCAAAATGAAATGGAGCAAGAAGTCATGGAAAAAGGCAAGTTTCATTTCTATATAAAGAAATACAATTTTATAATGAATTATTGAATTTTTATGTCTTCTGAATTATTTTCTGCAGTGGTACTGTTGTAATCTGTTCCTTTTTATCATGGCAGGTTGTCATATTTGTAGATAACTCTGGTGCAGATATCATTTTGGGTATTTTACCATTTGCAAGGGAGCTGCTTCGGAATGGGAGTCAGGTTTGCTGACATTTTATTCATTTATTTATTTTATGAAAGAAAAGATTCATGAAAACAAAGATAAAAAAATTGCAAAGAGATGGGAGAATAAGGAACCCTCCTTAACACAAGAACAAAACACAAAACAACAAAGAAAAAAGAGAAAATGAATGGAGCAAAGCTATCCAGTTCATCAACATATCTGTATTGTAAGGGAAAACTCATTTAAAAAGGCCATGTGCTTTACACCAAATAGATGCCAAACAAGTAATGTTATCCCTAATCAACCTATCACTCCAACCAAATGCACCAAACTGCAGTGTAGGTTGCACATTGTCACAAAAATTTTGCCACTTTACTTTTAGTAAAGCCATGAAAGCAATTTTTTTCTGACATTTTAATTCTAATTTCATGCACTGAACTCTGATTAGTGGATTGATATGTGCCGTTATTATGATTGCCTTGTTGTAGGTGTTAATTAGTCTTTTCTATTTTAAATATATTTTTTAAACTGAAACTGCTTTTGATGTACAGTTCTTTCAGCTGCCATCTTCCACATATTTTATGTGATTCTGTTTGAGTGCAGGTCGTATTGGCTGCTAATGACTTACCTTCCATCAATGATGTGACTTACTCTGAGCTAATTGAAATTATATCAAAGGTAATGATAATAAGTTTTGTATTTTTTGGTATTACCATATTCTTTGCTAACACTATATCATGTTGGTTTCCAGTTAAAGGATCAAGAAGGATATCTTGTGGGTGTCAGTTCTTCAAATCTTTTAATTGCTAACTCTGGCAATGATTTACCTGTAAGAAAATGAACAATGCTCTTTGTTCATTATGCAAATTATGGTATTTGGACCTATGATATCAGATCATTAACTTGTATGATGATTTTGTCTTTCTTGCTTTGTTCAACGGATTGCAGGTTATTGATCTTGCTAGAGTGTCAGAGGAACTTGCTTACCTTGCCAGCGATGCAGATCTTGTCATCTTAGAAGGGATGGTAAGTTCTTCCTTGGAAAAACTGAAAAAATATTTTTCTTCTTTATATTTATAGCATAACGAAAGAGGACGAGTTTAGAGTAGTGGTAAAGCTGCTCTTTAGTGATTGAAAGGTCACAGGTTCGAATTCAAGAAACAATATCTTTGCAATTTTGTAAGGGTAAGGCTTCGTTCAAGGCTTCATTCAAGGATTGCCTTCACCTCTACTTTCACTAGTTGGATTTTAATAAGGAGTGGTGGTTTCTGTATTTATAGCATAATGGTAAAGCTTGCTCCTTGTGACCAGAAGGGCAAGGGTTCGAGTCTTGGAAACAGTCTCTTTGCAAAAATATAAGAGTTAAGCTGCATACAGTCAACCCTCACCTCTACCCACGTAAATCGGGGAGCCTTATGCACCGGAATTTGTCTTTTTGTGCTGTATTTATAGCATAATACTAGAAAGACCTTTGTAAAAACAGCAAAATTCATTATCTTGCCAAGCTGATTTTCACTGATTGATTAGTTTTCAGGCACCCTTGTCCTCTCTCTTTTGTATGTATCCTATTTCATCTAGATTTTAACATTATCTTGTTTCTCAGAATTTGTGTTACACATCTGTCTGATATTTTATCACTACGTAGGTTATTCTGGGTTATTTTGCATTTTGACAGAAATTGAAACTTAGTTTGCTCATTGGATTCTGCATTATTTCAAATATTAAATAGTGATCTACTTCTTTTGACAGGGTCGTGGAATAGAAACAAATCTGTATGCTCAATTCAAATGTGATTCCCTTAAGATTGGAATGGTAATGCATTTTACTATAGTTTTACTTGCTTCTTATAATAATGAAAATTTGAGCTATGACGATCCTATTCTTTGTTCTTATTTATTTTTTTATTTTTTTCAGGTGAAACATCCTGAGGTAGCACAATTTCTTGGTGGACGTCTTTATGACTGCGTATTCAAATACAATGAAGTTTCCTCTTTACAATAAGGATGATTTTTTTTCTCTAATAATGCTGCGTAGGTGCAATTTTTCTAGCGTTAATCTTTCAACTTGACACACCATTATATGCCTAGATCAAGATACTTTATATACAATGTTAAAGTATCAACAAGAGGGATTAAACTGAACCATTTTACTTGTAGTAAAAAGTTATTCTACGTACATGACTTGTTCTCATGCTCACGTATTCATTATCTTTGATGTTTGTGCTTAGTAAGGTTGTGCATGACGATACCAGATTTTTTTTTTTCAAGGAATGAACTGGTTATTTGAAAACACAAATTGAAAGAAATAAGAAATAATTTTTTTTTGGGGTACTTTTTTATTCTCTAATATTTTTTTATTCACTATAAATATATATTATTTATTAAAAATATTCCAACCCTATATAGTTTGGGATAAAGGAGTTGTTGACATTGATTTATTAAATATACTCTTTATTTGAATATAGAAATAAGTTGGGTTATCAAATATATTTTTTTTTCAAAAATTCATCGTAAGGACAAAAATAAAAAAATATTTCTTTCCAGACAAGAAAGAATTGTTGTGCACACTTTAAATATTCAAACTAGTCATGAAACTAGCCTTGAAGCAAATACCTTTTTTGCATTGCAAACCCCGATGTTTTGTGAGTGTTATTTGAGTTAAATTTTCTTTTATTTATTGTTTTATTAATAGAGATAAAATTGTCATTTCACACAAGAAGATAACTGCAAATGTTTAATTTTTAAATATAAGGATGGTGGTAGTTGATCTAGACCCATATATGGGGGACATAGAGTCCAACTCATTTATGATCCAAGAAGCCCAATAACAAGGACTTAAAGAGTAAGAAAATGGGTTAATCCTGCATACATATAATTTCGCAAATGTACAACTACAACAACAGCAATTTAGATCTCCTAAACCTCTTCAATATCCAATACTTAAAGGGAAAAACATGTGATTCTGCCCATGTTAAAGGGCATATTTCACAAATAGGCATCCCACACATGAGATAGGCTACAAAAACCATCTCAGTCCACCAATGAGATTAAATGTCGCCATAATAATGCAACATAAGTAAGTCATTTAACCACTATATAAATGAAGGGACAAAGCTCATATATGATCATCTTATCCATCATAACTTAAGCTCATTCATCAAATACTAACTTAAGCATCAGAGTGCCTTGCATGTTCCTTTCCCTATTCGTCCCGTCGTACAAAGCTCTCCAACACCAGCACAACCAGCCCACAGAAATATCCCGCACCAAAGATCTTCCCGTTGCAAATTTATCTCAAACACCCTTTGGAACAGACTTAATCGTGTGTGATTAAACCCAACATGTCCTGAACTAATCAGTAGTATCACTTCGTAAACAAGAGAAGCCTATGGAGAAGTGAACTTATTTCACCATACAATTTTCATTTTCTTTTGTTTCAATTAAATTGTATAATTTCATCTTTAGTTTTTAATTCTTGTTTTAAGTTTGTACTCATTGAATATATGAGAAGTATCAACATAATTTCACTAATGATATTAGCTTTGTCCTTGATAATTTTAGGAACTACTCCTCACAAACAATATTTAGTCTTTCTCATTAGAACTGAATTTTATGGAGTCATGTAAGAATTAAGATTACTCCTCTCTAGCTTAAGCTGCCCAGAGCCATTTTATTCAGAAGAATGTGGGCGTCAATGGTTGGACTCTAAATAATTTGGTTACAGAAATTCTAATTTTATATCATGAACCAATTATTTGGAAAATTTATGGGGATGTATTGGATTAAAATTTTAAAAGATTTTTTAAGGATTAAAAATCCTACGAATTTTAAAAGATTTATAAGGATAATATAGATTTACACTTTTTTAAAAGGCTCTTTTTACAATCAAAATTGGATTTTAAATGATTTTAATATAATTTATAAAATTAGAAAGGATAATATGAAATTACAAGATTTTAAAAAATCATATAAATTTTTAACAAAAAATTCAAATTTACAAGAGTCCACAAAAAAAAAGACATGCAACAACATTAATAAAAAGAAAAAAATAATACAATTTTCTCAATTTCATAGCAAATTGATATAACTTTACGACCGTAAGCAACATCTTTCCACATTTATAAAGTTATGTTATTTCTCAAAGTATTAGCATCTTCTCGTTCCTGTTCTTGAGTTTGAAAAATTGGTTGAAACTTCACGGCCTCCTAATGAGTTTGTTTTGCACTTCTTTTTTTCTTTTTTTGAGTGGGGTTTATGAGAAATTTGAGTGAGAGTGAAAGAAAGGAATAGATAATGTTTCTGGGTCTTTCTTTTTCTTCACCCTCAACCCCAAAATCTTGTCACTCGTTCATGAAGTTTGGACATTTTAACCCCTCTGAATTATCAACAACAATGCCTATTTGTATTTTTTTTTGTTCTGTTAAGGTTGCTGGAAGAAACCAGCATTCTGCTAGCTAAAAGAACTGAGACATATGATGACATAAATCCATAAAGCAACAAGCATATAAAGGGTTTTTATTTTATCCTTTAACATAACACAACAAATTTTCCTACACTCACAACATTTTGTGGGGCCCACACTTTTTAAAACAAAAAAACAAATAAAAAATTAAGGCACGCAAAACGAATCTCTATAACATTACACAATTACTTTTCCTACAACATAACTCTTATAAAACCCTATAAAGAAAGGGAAAAAGAAGTATAATTTAAAAGGACAAAGTTGTGTAGGTCATTTACACAAAGTATAACCGGTCATACTTTGTGTCAATATTAAATGTTATTTTTTTTCTCTCTCTCTAGAGTCATATCGCTGACGTGTAAAATGAAAAAAAAAGTAATTTTTCAGATTTACACGAAGTATGACCGGTCATACTTTGTGTAAGTCACTAAAAGAACACAACTTGTGCCTTTTTAAATGACACACACTAAACCCATAAAGAAATTGCACATAGACATAAATCGAGATGTGAGTTTGTTATATAAAGAGCTTGCATAGAGAGACACAAGAAGAACATAAAAAGATACATTGAGTTGTTAGAGAAGATGCTAGGGCAGCAATAGAAAAATTCCAAGAAATATGAAGAGCTAGGGTAGGATTGTGAGGCACTAATAATATTTATATCTCCCATTAAAAAATACTACAAAATTTATACTAATAAAAAATCCATTAAAATTTTCAGAATTTTGAATACTAAGAGATTATTTATTTTTTGTTTAAAGTTCTTATTGAATACCGTTGGATTTGGATAGACACTAAAAAAATCTTAATTGTTGCATCGAATACCACATGACTTTTTTTATAATCCTTAAGAATTTTAATTAAATACCAATAAATTTTTTTATCCAAAACAATCCTTTAAAATCTTAATGCATTAGGTACTTAAAGTTTCAAGCGAAACTACGATATACTCATATAAAATGAACCAATTTACATCCAACGCAATGTAGTTGTGATTAAAACCCTTTGTATTATTTATAATAGGTTTTATAAGATTTACGTTGCAGGAAAAATGATTGTGTAATGTTATAGAGATTCGTTTTGCGTGCCGTAATTTTTTTTTTTTTTTTTAAAAAGTGTGAGCCTCACAAAATGTTATGTGTGTAGGAAACTTTGTTGTGTCATGTTAAATGATAAATGCAAACCCCATTTATAATATATATATATTTTCTTGGCCACATGTTTGTAGTGCATATATGCTTTAATAAACAGAAGGAGGCGTATTCCGCAAGGGGTGGATTTCGTATAAATGGATATGATTAAAGGAAGATTCATTGAACCTTTAATTTGCCAATTTTCTTTCACGAGTGTTGAATAATGAAAGTAGGATTTGAGCCTTGGCCTTATTGCTGCCATGATTGTATAATACAATTGTTTAATTCGCCAACTAAAACTTGTCAACCAATAAAAGGAAACTAGAATGGGAAGCTACAGGATTTAGTTATTTTCGCAATGTTTTAAGTCACATAAAGTTGATTACCGAATCTTCAAGAAATATATACAAAATGTTTATTATTAGACCTCAGCTTATTATATGACATATATTAAATTTTAATAGCTTCCTCATTTGCTTTCTTTTTTGTCCCTTCATTGTGCAAATACAGATATTTATTCACATTCTTCTTGATTCTTGAGATACTCTATTAACATGCATGTCATTCTAAATACACATTTGAATGAAAGTTTTAAATCCTAACATGAATAAATAATGATGGAAACTACATGTTATAAAGTAAAATGGACATGGACATGGACATAGCTGGATTTACACATTCTATGTATCTTGAAGTAAATTTTTAATTAAGAAGCAAAATGAACAAAACTTACTTCTTAACGTATATTAAGTTATTCATGATACTTTATCGAAAAGTACATGTTACAAAGTTAAATACATATGGGCATGGTAGGAATACAAAGTCTCCGCATCTTGGGCCAAATTTTTAATTAAAGCATGAACAAAGATCATTCACAACTCGTGCTGAAATGCTTAGTTAGAGTGCATTAAATAATTCATCATGCTTTATATATTAATAATTAACATGAGTAATTGCTTTTATTAATACATTAATTACAATTATCCAAATAATAATTATAATGGAATTCCTTTATTATCATTCTTTGTAATTTAGCTGCTAATATATATTTAGTCATATTTTCATTTTATTCTTATATTTAATATTTTAAGTAAGTTACATTCATTACATAATTAAATATTGGCCACTAATTTTCACCAAAAAAAATAAATATATTGGCCACTAATTCTTGGAAAATACTGATATCCCAAAAAAAAGAAGTATACCAACGATACTACTAATTATTAATACTTTATTTTAATTATCACAACCTTGAAATCAGGAAAGGCATTATATAAGATCAAGTCTACTTAATTAATGAATTCCATTTGAGATTTCAAGCATGGCAGTCTTGGATTCAAGAATATGGTTTCATTACCAAAGTTAATTAAATGAATTTCATTTAGTAAATAGTAAATTATCTTAAACTTAAAAATTCCTTTTCTTAAGAAAACATACAAGATTCGTCATCACAAAAAGGATGAGAATGGTAACCCCACCATTAACTACTTCAATTGAATAAAAAAAAAATACTGAATAGTAATAAAAATATATGTCCTACCAAGATATAATTTGTAACTTGCTATCCTCTTACCTAGGGC